GTCGTGTATATCCGGACCGTAGAGAAAGGAGCCGGGCGCAGCGGCGTCGGATGCCTCCGAAACACCCGAAGTGAGGGTTCCCCTGGGTTCCCAGGTTGTCGTCACTTTTCGGAAATCAACTCAACCTTCGGTCGTTTCCGTAGGTCCTCGTCTTCCTTGGCACTCAGCCACGCACCGTCCCGCCAAGGGTTCGGCTTCTTCCGACAAGTGAAAGCGTCTCAGTCTTTGGCTGCCTCCGCAAGGGCTCCCCGTCCTGCTCTGCCCGTCCTATCAGAACAATCCGCTATTCCCGACAAGTCTAACCGTCCCGGTCTTCGGGACTTCCCGAAGGTTTCCGGCGCTCGCCTTCGGGCCCCGCCACAAATTATGCTCGATCCAAGCTTCGGCTCTTTCCGGAGATTCCGCTCGCTCACTCCTCCCCCCCGCAAAACTTCGGTTCCTTCCGCAACCGCTTCCGGAAGGCCTCACTCACGAAGACGGCTTCGGCTCTTTCCGTCTGTGCTTCGGCTCCTTCCGGCTCCGAGAACCGAAAAGGGAGGGCGGATGAAGACGAGGTGGGTCAAGGGAAGGGATACGAAAAAGGGGCGGGATCCTGGATCCCGGCACCTGCCTCTCCGGGTGGGGAGAGTGGAAGAAAAGAAAGGCCGATCTCGTGGAAAGCCTAGGAAGGCTGCGCGAGACCAAAGCAGCCAGCGGGTGGAGGGTACGCGCAGCCGCTGCGGAGGTTGGCAGCGCAGCTCTATGCGCCTGCGCAGGATAGAAGCGGAGGGGGCGAGATGTACTTTTGCGCCTGCGTGGAGGTCGGTGTGAGGCGCGGTTTCTCACCGCTCCGGGAGGACCGGTTCCAGAGCCTCTAGCGCGCGTGCGCGAGACTTTCCCTTCCTCCAGGGAAAGCACTGCGTTCCCGACCGTTAAGCCCGTCCTTGCCTGGTTGGCGTAGCAACCGCGTGAGCGCGCCCGTCTCCCTCCGCCACGCAGGCGCCGCAGACAACGTTGTGGACACTTCTGAGAAACAGGATCTCACGTTACCGCCTCCCGGCGGGCGGGCGGAAGCCTTCCGGAGATGCCCAGTACCCACTCCGCTGGCTGCCTCCGCTGGAGGTCATTGAGTCCTGCCTCCTACCGTCGCGCGTCTAGTCCAGACAGCCCCGCGGGGGGTGTTCACGCCTCTTTCCCGGAGCTCTGCACTCCGAGTTCCCGGGGCACGACTGCTTCTCCCCCTCCTATCGTTGCCTCCGGGTGTGCTAATTACACCCTGCCTTTGCAACCTCACCGTTTCCTACCTGGCTGCTCGCTCCCTGGAACCCCCGCACCAGGGTCCCCGGTCACTGTCTCCGCAGCAACAGATGCCCCTTACAGGAAGATGCCGGGGCCTAGTTTATTCCAAATTTTATCGTCTTTTTAATTTAAATTCTCTGAATAATTCTCTGTCTCACGCAGACTGGGAGGGTGGGAGAGCAGGATTCGGGTCCTCGGGGTTGGGGGCGGAGAACGGGTATGTACAGTGCCCCTGGCCCGCAGAGTCCCGCGGTCTTCCCAGGAGGAAGGGCTCAGTGAGGGCAGGAGTGGTGCGGGTGTTTGGGACAGGACAGTCAAGTGATGCGCCTCCAACCCTGGGAATGTGAAGAAACAGGAGGGGGTGGGAGTGTGGGAGGCAGGTCTATATACAAGGGATCTTGGGTGGGAGTGGAGGGGTTTGCAGGAGGCACACGCAGAAACACGCTGTCCACCCCCAGGCCCTGGCGAGGGACACAGCACTCATGCACACGCTTGCCCCTGTGCCAGGTGGGGTAGGGAAGTGGGGGCCGGAGATCTTGTCCCAGGTCGGTGGGGCGGGATCACCGCTTGAAGCGATAGGTGATGGGGAGCAGCAGCTTGCTTTTCTTGAGGGCCTGCACCTTCTTGAGGGTCTCATCGTCCAGGGCCAAAAAGCAACGGCGCGAGTACTCCAGCAGACGTTCTTTGGAGGGGTCAAACTCGCCCACCTCTGCCAGCTTCTCTGGGGCTACGATCAGCAGCTCCGCGATGGGCGTGGTCAGTGCCACCGTGTTGCGGTCCACGCGGTGGTGCTCGAAGGCCCGCGACATGCTCTTCAGCTTCTGGAAGGTGCCCAGGATCTTCTTGTAGCGGCAGAGGACACCGTCCGCATCCTTCACTGCAGGGCCAAGGAGAAGGAATAGAAAGGCAGACATGGGGGAGTAGATAAGAGACAGGGAGACAGATCCATGTGGGGAAGGCAAACGCAGAGGTGTGGGACAGAAATGGGAGGGCAGACGTATGGACAAGAGACAGAAATGGGGTGAGGGACCCACACAGAACAAAGGAATGGAGACA